AGTTTCTGACAACTTCTCATGCCACTGCTTTGGATTCTTCTCAAGCATTTTTCTGATAATGTTGATGATTACCTTGTTGCTTGATTCTGCCTGCCCGTTAGCTTGAGCATAATAGGGAGTGGATTGAAGCAGCCTGAATTTGAATGCCTCTGCCATATCCAGCATTTCTCCAGATATGAAAGAAGATCCTCTGTCAGTTGTGATTGATTCTGGGATGCCAAATCTCTGTATAATCTGTTATTCTATGAAAGTGATGATCTCTTGAGATGTAGTGGTTTTAACAGGCTTGGCTTCTACCCACTTAGTGAAATAGTCTGTGGCAACAATGATAAAACAGTGTTGCTGGCTGCTGGCTGGATAGATCTTGCCAATGAGGTTCATAGCCCATCCTCTAAAAGGCCATGGCTTTACCACTGGATTCATGGGAACTGAAGGAGCCTGCTGGATTGGGCCGTGTCTTTGACAAGACTCACACCCCTTGGAATAGTCAATGCAATCTTTCATCATGGTGGCCATAAGTAGCCATACCTTCTAATTAACCAGCACAATTTCCTCCCACCTTGATGAGCTCCACAGATTCCTTCATAAGTTTCCCCAATGTCTTTCATGTATTCTTTATTTCTGAGGCACCTTAAACGCACCTCATCCTTACTCTTTCGGACCAAATCTTTATTCCACATAAGATAGTTCAAAGCCATGATTTTGACTCTCTTCTTAGAGGGCAGAGTTGGATATCGTAAGTAAGTTATGATAGGATTTCTCCAATAGTCTTCAGTGATTGCAACAAACTTGACATCTATTTCCATCCCCCTGGTCAGAACAGATGGTAGGCTTTTCTTCCCTATCTTGATGATTCTTTGTACACAATCTTCAAGCATTTGTATGCCTATTGCTACCTGAGCCAATTCATTGGCTGCAAAGTTTTCTTCCCTTGGGATATGCTCCCAAGTAGCTTCTCTGAATTCTGTCAGAAGATTCCTAGCTACCACCAGGTAGATAGCTAGAGAAGGACTTAGGCACTTGTCTTCCCCAGCAATCTATTTCAAAACAAGCATGGAATCTCCCAAAATTTCCACAAATTGGATTCCTAGTTCCACCAGCATTTCTAAGCCTATGATTAGAGCCTCATATTCTGCTCTGTTGTTGGTGCACTGGAAATCCAATTGAAAAGAGTAACAGTGTCTGATTCTAAGCGGTTCTTCCAAAACAATTCCTGCCCCAGAAGTTATATCAGTTTTTGATCCATCAAAGTATAGCTTTCAAGGTGTGAGATGGACTGAATAGATAGGATTGTTGAGGCGGGTGTGAGCTCTGGTCAATAGATCTGCATTTGCTATGTCCAATGAGTCCATGTTTTCAATCTCTTCCCCAGGATGATCTGCTAGGAAATCTGCCACAGCTTGTCCTTTGACAGCTTTTTGAGGAACATATCTGAAGGCAAATTCTGTCAAGGCCAAGGTCCATTTTCCAATTCTGCCTCTCAGCATTGGTCTTATTAGCATGTATTTGATCAGATCTATTTTGGCAATGATGTAGATGGTGTATGGCAGCATGTAGTGTATGAGTTTCACAGCAGTGAAGTACAAGGCTAGGCAAAGTCTTTCAATCGCAGAATATTTTCTTTCCACCTCTGTCAGAGTTCTGCTCAGGTAGTAGGCTGCTTGTTCCTTCCCTTCCTTGTTATCTTGAACTAACAGACTCCCAATGGATACTTTTGATGCAGATACATAGAGCTTGAGTGGTCTGCCTCTCTTTGGTGAGGACAGAACTGGTGGATTTGAGAGGTAATGCTTGATTTCCTCAAAAGCTTGCTGGTGCTGTTCTTCCCACTTGAAGGTCTGTTCCTGTTTCAATCTTAACAAAGAGGAGAAAGGCTGGATCTTCCCTGCAGAATTGGATATGAATCTCCTTAGAAAATTAATTTTTCCTAAGAGACTCTGTAATTCTTTCTTGTTCCTAAGCGGTAGAGCTTCTATGATGGACTTTGCTTTGTTCTTGTCGATTTCTATGCCTATCTGGTGGACCAAGAATCCTAGGAAATTTCCTGCTTGAACTCCAAAAACACATTTCTTTGGGTTCATATTTAGTTTGTGCTGCCTCATTCTTAGGAATGCCCTCCTTAGATTTGGTATGTGGTTTCCCTCTTCTGGGGATTTAATCACCACATCATCGATATACACTTCCAAAGAATGCCCTATCATATCATGGAAGACAGAATTCATTGCCCTCTGATAAGTAGCTCCTGTATTTCTTAAACCAAAAGGCATTACAGTGTACTCAAAAGCACCTATATGTCCTGGACACATGAAGGCTATCTTGTGAATGTCTTCTTCTGCCACCATGATCTGATTGTAACCTGCATTGCCATCCATAAAAGATAGCATCTGGTTGTGAGCAGCTCCATCTACTAGCATGTCTGCCATTGGCATAGGGTACTCATCCTTGGGAGAAGCTTCATTTAGATTTCTGTAATCCACACAGATTTTGACTGCCCCAGTTTTTCTTTTCAAAATTGGTACAATATTAGCTAGCCAATCAGCATAGATAGCTGGTATGATGAATCCTGCTTTGAGCAATCTTTCTATTTCTTCTTTGACCTTCAGTTCTGTGTCCATGGACATTCTTCTTCTGGCCTGTTTGACTGGAAGGTATCCCTCTTTGATTGGCAGCTTGTGCTCCACTAATTCCCTTTCTAGACCTGGCATTTCATGATAATGCCAAGCAAAACAATCTCTGAACTCCTGCAACAGTGCAATGAGCTCACTCTTGAGCGGTTCTTTCAATAGTGCGCTAATAAAAGTAGGCCTTAGATCCTCTTATGTCCCTAAGTTTATTTCCTATAAAGGATTTTCCACTTCTGGCAGAGAGTCATCCAGTGCTGTTGGCACAAAATCTAACACTTCCTCCTGTAACTCTTCTTCCTCCTGGTCTTCTGTGCTCTCATGAGTGAATTCTGCCATATTGATGGCTGCATCCTGCATGAAGAGCTTCCTTTCCTCCCAATATATCAACAATCTTTTTGTAATGGATCGGATTGTTGCAGCTTGATCCTTTTCTTATTGATAGGAACTAAACATCAAAGTTCTGGAGGTTTAGAACGAAAGGTCTATTCCAGTCCTCTAAGGAATTGGTTAGACCATCTTCAAGGAGCCTCTGGCCGTGACACCATGGGGGCGGCTGTTCTGGTTGACTCCAAGGAAAGTGAAAAGACCAAGGTCATCATGGTAATACCTTGCTTCAAAACACATGGCAGAAGGCAGAAATGGCCGTGGATCGGCCTCTACTATCTCCATGTAACCTTCTTCATTCCATAAAGCTAATTGTTGATGAAGAGTGGAAGGAACACATAGACTCTGATGAATCCAGTCTCTGCCAAGTAGTGCATTGTAAGTGGTAGAAGCAGTATCCACCACAAAGAATGCAATCTTCAGCTTCTTGCTTCCTACTATAACATCCACATCTAGGATTCCATGAGTTTTGGTGATGCCCCCTGCAAAGTTGGTGACGGTTAAGCGTGTTGGGATCAAGTCCTTCTCTGTTCTGCCCATTTTGCTCAGCATTCTATAAGGCAGAAGATTAATGGCTGCACCTCCATCTACCATGACTTTGGGAATAGGAACACCTCCAAAATTTGTTGTTATAAACAAAGGTCTGAGATGATTGGCCATCTCCTTGGTTGGTTTGGAGAAACAAAGCTGTTCTACAGTTAGTTTGTTGGTAGTTCCGCCTGTCCTGGGACTGCCTGCTCGTTGTTCTGGTGCCTCCTCTACTTTTGCTAACCTGCATTCGAAACTTTCCTGGGAGAAAACATCTCCCTCCAGAGTGCTTTCCTGTCCCTCTACAGCCCAGAACTTTTCTGACAGAATGAACACCATGTTGATGCCTAGGTCACCTTGTAACAGGCCCTCCAATTCTACACCAAAGGCCTCGGTTTTTGCATCCAATTCCCCATCATATTCCATCTGTTCCTCCTTGAATCCTTCTGTCCAGTCTTCTTGTTCTCCTGTTTCGAGGAGTGCATTCTGGTCATCTGCAGATGGGTCATAATCTAGTTGCTCCTCTTTATTTTCCTTAGTCCAGTCTTCTTGCCCTTCTACTAGAATAGGTTCAGATTCTCCTTGTATCTGTGAAGGTTTAAATTGATTGTTTGAGGATGAAGCAAGATGGATAGAAGGCTTAATTGGAGATCCAGCTTTTAACATTTTCTGTGGCTGGATTACTTGTTCTACGTGGGAAGGTATTTCCGGATCTTTCCGTTTTATGTCAGAAGTGGTCTCCGGAGGTGCATGTGCATCACTTTTGTTCTTGAGGAATATGCAGTATTACCTTTGAACCCTCCTCTTCTGGGTTTTGGTTAATTCCATAGTTGGTCTGCCATTTTTTCTGATAGCATACCACCTTCCTTCTATGATAGCAGCCAGAGGTTTCTCATTCTCGGGCATCTTGATTGATATTTCCTTCTTGGGCTACTCTGTCATCCTCCTGCTGTGCTGGGCTGGTCTAGGATACTCCTTCCGCCTGGCTCTATCTCGGGATGAGGTTCCAATCCTATCAAAAACACTCGGAATGGGCTGACTCTGCCTGTCTAGGACCATTTCTAGCTCAGCTTCACATTTGCACTTGCTGTAGAGCACTACTCCAGCTGAGATAGTTGCTTTTGGTCTCTCAATAGTCTCTTTTGAGACTATTCTGCTCCTGCTGGAGCTGGTCTGCCCATCTCCTATTCTGGCCAATTTAAGTTGACCATGTTAACTTGTGGTAGGAGAAAAGGATTTGTTGTGACAGATAGAGGCTTCTCTGCCAGCTTCAGCCTTCCTGCTGTTATTCCTTCCTGTATGATATCTCTGAAAACAACACAACTATTGGTAGAATGGTTTCAAGAATTGTGCCATCTGCAATACTGTCTGCCCTTGAGTTCTTCTGGCTTGGGCATTCTGTGGGGTGTCTCTATTGCTTTTTGCAGCAACATTTCATCAAATAAAGCATTCACCTTGGTTAGATCAAAGGAGTAAACCTTGTTCTGTGTTGGTTTGCTCGGAACAAACCCTCATGTGAAAGGTGATGGCTTCTGATCCTTTAGCTGGGGGCATTGTTTGGGCCTTGCAGCTGATGGGATGTTTCAATTTTGCCATTTCTGCTACTGCCACTTCTCCCTCCTCTGAGCATTCTGCTTCCTCTTTTGATTCTACCTGAACCAGATGTATTGAAGAGGAAGGTGACTTGTAATACGTGCCTTTGGATGAGTTCCTCTTCTGCTGTTCTTCCCTAAGCAGTTCCTCATACTTGGATGCTTTATCTGCCAGTTCTGCCAGGTCTCCAAACAGCATCCCATCAAATCTTTTTCTCAGAGAGATCATGAGGGCAGCCTGAGCCATCTGGATGAAGTGTCTTTCTTCCATAGGGATCCGGCACTTCATTTTGAGCTTCCTGAACGTGGTTATGAAGTCTTGAGCAGGTTCATCTTCACTCTGTTTGAGGGCAGCAAGGTCACTGATGGTGACTTCTGCCTGAATCCTGTAATAATAGTCATGGAAAACACTTTCCATCTGCTCCCAAGTTTGAACAGAGTTAGCTGGCAGGTTGGTGTACCAATTAAAAGCTTGTCTGGAGAGAGAATTCCCGAAAAGCATCAACTTCAAAAGAGGATTGTTCTCTATGGCTATGCACTGGACAGAGAACCTGCCTATGTGCTCAACTGATGAAGCATGGGGATCCTCTCCGTTGAATAAGGTGAAGTTTGGCACCTTAAAACCAAGGGATAGAGGTATTTGATCGATATAAGCCGGATATGGCTTCCTATAGGTGGGCCTTTCTCCTCTTCTGGCTTTAGGCTCCATCATTTCTCTGATCATCCTTTGTAATGCCCCCATGTCATTTAGAGCATTGACAGGGTGGTGATTTCGCCCCTGTTCTGGCTGGGCGTGATCAATCCTGGGCTCCGCTCTGTATGGCCTAGGCAGAACTTCTTCCCTGTGTTCTTCCTGTTCTTCCAGATCTGGATTATTCCTCCAGTTTGCCCCTAGCCTGTTCCTGTCATTGTTGGCAAAAAGGTTATTACCCCTTCCGCCTCTTCTGCCTCTTCTGTCTGTTCAAGGCCACTTCTAGCTCAACTTCACATTTGCAATTGCTGCAGAGCACTACCCCAATTGAGATAGTTGCTTTTGGTATTTCAACAATTTCCCTCGAGACCATTTTGCCTCTGTTGGATCTAGCCTCTGTCGCTGCCCTGCTCCTCTTTTGTTCTGGCCAATTTAAGTTGACCATGTTGACTTGAGGTTGGGGAAAAGGATCTGTTGTGACTGATGGGGGTTTCTCTGCCAGCTTTAACCTTCCTGCAGTTATTCTTTCCTGTATAACATCTCTGAAAACAACACAAATATTGGTAGAATGATTCCAAGAGTTGTGCCACTTGCAATACTGCCTGCCCTTGAGTTCTTTTGGCTTGGGGATCCTATGGGGCGTTTCTATTGCTTTCTGCGGCAACATCTCATCAAATAAAGCATCTACCTTGGTTAAATCAAAGGAATAAACCTTTTTCTGTGTTGGTTTGTTTGGAACAAACCCTCCTGTGAATGGTGGCGGCTTCTGATCCTTTGGTGGTTTTGTAAGGGCCTTGCAGCTGATGGGATGTTTCAATTTTGCCATTTCTGCTACTGCCACTTCTCCCTCCTCTGAGCATTCTGCTTCCTCTTTTGATTCTACCTGAACCAGATGTATTGAAGAGGAAGGTGACTTGTAATACGTGCCTTTGGATGAGTTCCTCTTCTGCTGTTCTTCCCTAAGCAGTTCCTCATACTTGGATGCTTTATCTGCCAGTTCTGCCAGGTCTCCAAACAGCATCCCATCAAATCTTTTTCTCAGAGAGATCATGAGGGCAGCCTGAGCCATCTGGATGAAGTGTCTTTCTTCCATAGGGATCCGGCACTTCATTTTGAGCTTCCTGAACGTGGTTATGAAGTCTTGAGCAGGTTCATCTTCACTCTGTTTGAGGGCAGCAAGGTCACTGATGGTGACTTCTGCCTGAATCCTGTAATAATAGTCATGGAAAACACTTTCCATCTGCTCCCAAGTTTGAACAGAGTTAGCTGGCAGGTTGGTGTACCAATTAAAAGCTTGTCTGGAGAGAGAATTCCCGAAAAGCATCAACTTCAAAAGAGGATTGTTCTCTATGGCTATGCACTGGACAGAGAACCTGCCTATGTGCTCAACTGATGAAGCATGGGGATCCTCTCCGTTGAATAAGGTGAAGTTTGGCACCTTAAAACCAAGGGATAGAGGTATTTGATCGATATAAGCCGGATATGGCTTCCTATAGGTGGGCCTTTCTCCTCTTCTGGCTTTAGGCTCCATCATTTCTCTGATCATCCTTTGTAATGCCCCCATGTCATTTAGAGCATTGACAGGGTGGTGATTTCGCCCCTGTTCTGGCTGGGCGTGATCAATCCTGGGCTCCGCTCTGTATGGCCTAGGCAGAACTTCTTCCCTGTGTTCTTCCTGTTCTTCCAGATCTGGATTATTCCTCCAGTTTGCCCCTAGCCTGTTCCTGTCATTGTTGGCAAAAAGGTTATTACCCCTTCCGCCTCTTCTGCCTCTTGCAGGTGGAGGGAATGGATTGGGATCCATCCTTCTGGGTATATAAGGCAACACTGCTGGTGGCTCAGGCAGAAGTGCCAAAGGTTGATCCTGTGGAATAGGGTGAAGTTCTGGCTGGTTCTGTAGCATCTGAACTAGTGCAGGGCCTTCTGGCCGAGCTGGGGCCTCACGTTCTTGGACGGGAAGGACTCCTCCCCTCTGTCCTACCTGAATCTCTCCATGCCCTGGTATTCCAGCAATTTGTGCAATGAGAGGGTTTTCCTGGTATGGCCATGCTAATCCTGGTGGAGGGCCATAGGGAAGGTCTAGCTGTTGGACAACAGCATCCGGATTTGGAATTCTGGCTATGGCATCCTCACGGTCCTTCCTGAACTGCCTGTTGACTTGCCATTGCATCATGGCTGTCATATTATTGAGAGTGTCTTGGCTCCTTTGTGTTGTGACTTCTTGTCGCAACACAAATTCCTGAATCAGGTTCATCCTTTTGGAGCCAGTCCTGGACCGTCTGCTCCTTGTGCTGCCGTGTGCTGAGTGCCTGGCATTACTTTCCTCTGACTCCAGTCCTTCCCTGAGAGCCACCTGGTTTATCTCCATGGCGTGGTGTGGGTTCTGGCTTGAGCTTCCAATATTCATAAACTTGAGAGGAATTCTGTGAGAATATGTGTACTGAGAAGTCCCACTGGGCATGCCAAATTGTTTGCCCGTTTTGCGTTTACTCCTGTGATGGAAGGGCAAAGTTCCCCACTGCCTTGAGAACCATAGACTGGTCAACAAGTCAGCTTTCTTTGGTGTGCGAGCGTGCCACTGCTAGTAATAAAAATTCTAGCAGACTTAGTTTGGAATGGATAACTTGCGCCCCAAGTTACTGATTTCTGCAAACAAACGATTGTGAATTTGGGTGAGGAATATCTCCCAAGTAAGTTCTTTTCTTGCCTCAGACTGGTGAGGACTTTAACAATTTATCTCAGTATAAAGAGGTTGTTCTGGCCAGAATGGTTGATGGAATTTAAACTATCTCGGGCAGAACTGCCTTTCACAGAACTATAAAAATAAATATCCATGTTAGAAAGATGAAAGGACAGCTGGAAATTCATTTATGTTTGGATAGGAGGCTCTGATCCGGGCTGGGCTGGACTAGACTGTTGACTACTTCAACTGCTAAGCTTCAGCTGTAAATCGATACCAAAGGTTAATTTTGGTAGAGCTTTAATGTACTTCAAGCTTTTGTGAGGCTTTTGAGTACGCAGAACTGCGGTTTCTTCAGTCTACAAGGGCAGAAGTGGCTGTTCTCGAAGACTTCAGTGGGCTCGAGACTGCATTGTGAAATTTGTTGAGGTTTTCATATTTAGGAAAAGCTCAAGCTTTACCTGTCTTACTTCTTTGCTTAACCAAATTTGTAACGAGAAAAATCTCGTTTTGATTGACTTTTTCCTAAGTCTGAACCTTGGGAATTCTGATCTGAAGATGGTTTCACTTGGAATTCAAGTGGGCTTTTTGGTTGATTTTTGAGTTGTTTGTTTGTTTGATCGTTTTTGATTGATTGTTGTTGAATTGAGTGTCTTTTTGCCCTGTTCACTCCTTCTTGTATTTATAAGAGATGTTATATGGAGCAGGGTAATTCTTTTAAATAATGGGTGACAATTTTCTTTAAAAGATCTTTCATTTTTAATTGTAAAGAAAGGGGGTTTTGATCAATTTCTGGTAGATAAGCTCTCAATAGTCAGTTCTTAAGATCACTTCCCTATTTTTCTTGAAAAAGAACCTAACCCCTCTTTAATTCCAACTGCCCCCCTGTGAGAACCGTGATGGTTAGTCTAATTCTCAGTTTTGAGTAGGTCCCTGTTTTCCTGTTTATCTTTCTCTGAGATTGTAGCTTGCTTATCTCTTGGGAGAATCACCTTCTTTGTAAAGTAGAAAAAATCTCTGAATATATATATATGTAAGAGGGATTTGATCTTCAGATTTTCAGAGGTGTCTCTTCCAGTTTGTCAGCCACTGACCCTTCCATTTATCAACTCTGTGCTAGTTGGTTTTGTTGACTTTTCCAAACTTGATAATACAAAAATGTCACGTGGGTTCTAGGATGGGTCCCTTTCTTCATCCAAATTGTGTTGGGCTTATTTTGTTTGGAGCCCAAGAGGTGATTTTCTTTTAAGGCCCGAGTCTATTGGTCTGGTTTGGGCTAGGCCTTTCTGGATCTTGGTTTTCCTCTCGTTGGGCTGGGCGTGCTAATTTAGGCCCAAACAGCTGTATAAGTTAATTGGGACCATTATAGTCGAGAGAGCAGCTATTTTTGTAAATCAAGGTATAGAAGCAAGACTGAACTATGGCATCATAGGCTTGGGCACATAAGCCATAAAGGGTTGCAAGAATTACACAAGCTTGTTGGAAGGTGTGTCATCTTGCAAACTGGACTTTTGTGAATATTGTGTTCTTGGAAAGCAAAGGAAGGCATCATTCACGAGTAGCAGTGCAGATAACCGAAGCAAGGAGCAACTCAGCTATATTCACTCAGATGTTTGGGGCCCTGCACCAACCAAATCAAATGGTGGAGCCAGGAATTTTGTTACTTTCATGTATGATTTTTCTAGGAAGGTTTGGGTTTATTTCATGAAGCAGAAATCCGAGGTTTTTGCAAAGTTCAAGGAATGGAAAACAGAATCCGAGAATCAAACTGGAAGAAATTTCAAGTACCTGAGAAGTGACAATGGAGGTGAATATACAAGTAATGAGTTTACCGATTACTGCAAGCAGGAAGGCATCATACAGCACTTCACAGTAAAGAAGAATCCCCAACAAAATAGAGCTGCTGAGAGGATGAACCAAACTCTCATGCAGAGAGATAGAGAGAAAGAGAGAGAGGAGCGTGCGATTTCATGCAGGATTGCCTAATAGTTTTTGGGCAGAGGATGTTAATCATGCAAGTTATTGATTAACAGATCACCATCTACAGTTCTCGGTTTTAAGAGTGCAGAAGAGGTATAGTCTGAGAAGTCGGTGGACTATTCCAAGCTCAGGGTATTCGGCTGAGTGCTTATGCACATATTCCAAGTGATGAAAGGTCCAAGCTCAAACCAAAGTTTACACATTGCATATTCTTAGGTTTTGAGAAAGGAGTGAAGGGTTTCAAGCTTTGGGATATCAACAACAGGAAAAAGGTTGTTAGCTGAGATGTTGTCTTTGATGAGACAACCATGCCTTTGAATAAAGTCGAGAGCAGTAGGGAGAAGAAAGACGATACTAAAATTGAAGCAACAAAGATTCTGTTAATCAGTTC